CAGCTACTCAGCTCCCGGTCCAATTTTCCTTTTGATGTGTTTAGTTTCAGGCTTTAATTAACTTAAGATGTTTGCTAAACTATCAAAGAAAATAGGGGCAGTTTCTTATTTGGCCCTGGTTTAAAGTTGTCTTTCTTCCTGGGTCCTGAAACAAAATTTCTTACCTATTTGGCCTCACTCGAAGTTTGCTGCATGGGTGACCTTTGGTTTCTCATAATGTCTCAGGGGCAGTTTGGTCTTTTCATGTGCCACTTAACGGTGTTAGAGGCGGGAGATGACGGTAAGGCCAGATTGGAAAACGAAACTTCGAGTGAGACCAAATAGGTAAGAAATTTTATTTTGGGACCCAGGAAGAAAGACAACTTTAAACCAGGGCCAAATAAGAAATTTTCTCAAGAAAATATGCAGGAATTAAAACAACAGAATGACATTTGTGCATGAGCATTTGTTTAGTGTCATATTACTGACAAACTAGTATACTCATATTTTGTAGTGCTGCTAAACATATGTAGGATTTAGGCAAAAAACTAACAGGACTAATTACTCATTATAGGGCCAAGAAAAAGACAGTATTCAAGATTATTATCATTTTTATACACAAATTTAGTATGTAAAGCATACAACAACTTGAATGCCAAATATTGTATTTTTTTTGCAATTTGGGCAACTGTATTCATGCGTGTGTCTGCGATGGTATGGTGTATTGCTTTTTATACAAAATCAAGGGCAATGAATCCAAGCATAGGTACAACTAACTAATAAGTCTACTGGAGTAACCAAGTGTTAGCTGATTCATATCTGTACCTTGTTCCATGCCTATGATGTTTAATTTTTTCCACGTACAGCTTGGATATAGTTACCAACATGTGACATCTTGGTTCAAATGGAGCTCTATTTGTGCCACTTCCCTCTCAGCCCTGCTCAAACATGTTTAGCTTTCACTTTTTTTATACTGATGCATCCCATTATCCTTATTTTCATCAGTTAAATGACCTAACCATCATGACATTTCATTGTACCCTTTTGAAATGTACAGAGTACTATGTGCATTTCTATTACAAGGAAATGCAGCTACCATTTGCACATCTGTGTACCATGCCGATATGCACACTGTGAAAATGATTGTCGTGTCGTGCCATGGCGGCTGGCGCTATCTTCGTACACTCAGCCAACTTGATCAATAATTATAAATTTAGTTGTAGACCATATTCAAGTTTGATGTCTACTTACATAAATCCTTTCTTATCATCCTTTGCTTTACAATATCTTGCAGGTGGTATGATTGAGTTGAAGAAAGACAAATTTAGCTATATAAGAGATCTATCAGGAGTGACCCCTATTAAAGTTCACCAAGATTATTTCTAAAGCATGGTTAACAGATCAAACGATGCTAGTACCATCGCCCTGTTCGTTTGGGCTTGTTCTTATAAGCCGTACTTTTTCAGCAAACGAACAGTACTTTTCTCTCACACCAAATCAGCCAACAGTACTTTCAACCATGCGTAATCAGCCAAACAAGCACAAACGAACAGGACGAATATCCGTGCAAATTCAATCATTTATAACTTTTATCAGCTTGTAATTGCTAAAAGTGTGCCAGCTAAGCTGGAACTACATAAGTGAATATTCAGCTGCCAACATTATCAACTTGCACATATTTTTACATTTAGTTACTTGTTGCTACTATATGTCAAAAACTTTAGAGTTCATGTCCTCAAGTCCAGATTGATCCACCAGCGACATCAAAGGGCCCTGTTCGCTTCGCTGAAAAGCCATGGCTGAAAGTACTGTTCGCTGATTTGTTGTGAGAGAAAAACATTGTTCCTTCGCTGAAACAGTACGGCTCATAAGACAATTATATCTGGCTGGGGGCTCTAACAAGGATAAGGGACCGTGAGTTGGATTGTTTATTTGTTTACACACTCAAAGTAAGATCTGTACTTGCTACACCTTTAGAAAGTTGCAAATTGCATATTCTTATCATCGTAATGTCATAGGCAATTATTTGTTATTTTCAATTATTACCATTTTACATCACAATATTTTTCTCATTCAAAATAAAAAATATTATTGGATATTCTTATATATCATCCGAGCAGCGAAGGAGCATGAGCTGCCGCCCGCCCTGATGGTCTCCACATAGTCTCTGCACGCATCACGGATTGGGCGACTGGCCCAGCACAGGCAGGAGCGCGGCAAAGCCGCGCATGGTTTCTAGTATATATATATATACAAGCTCAAACTCCATTGCATGTTTCCCTTCGTACATATTGATATATATGCACCATGCATATGATAGTGAGATTATGAGTTTGATCGACATGTTCCTGGTTTTGTCCACCTTTTGCATATGCAGGCTAATTAAAGGTGCCTTCGTTGAGATGTGGCCAAGGTAAAAACCTGGCCTGAAGAAGTGGCAGCTCCCATATAGTATATGGGATCATATCGTCACAGCTTCCGTGATCGTTCTGATCCACGCCACCCCAAAGCACCCACCTGCTGATGCTTCCAGAGGTAGCGGCCATCGTCGTGTTCCTGTGTGCCGTCTGCTTTGCCACCATGTTAAGCAGATTGTGTCAGCAAGATAGGTCTTGTTCATATGCATGTCTCATCACCTCGAGAGTGGAACGCGGTCAAGTCATGGTACCACGTTCCCCCGTGCTGTCAAGCGCGTGCCTGTCGTGTTTGCGTCTTTTGCGCTGCACAATGCTCGAACGGTTTCAGCAGTTACATTAATTCATATGCACGATTGAACAAAAGGACATGTAATAATAATTCCAGGATACGTTCGACTGTTGAACTCCAGAGCTCTCCTGGCTCTTCTAGTTTGGTTGTTGCTAAGTTTTGAGACATCGGTCGCTGTTACTGCAAGTACGGACACGTTTATCTGGTAATTCGATTCAATCAATGTACATTTTGAGACCGACGATGCCCTCCTCCCCATTTCAGCTCGTCAATTGCATCCGTCTCAGCTTTCCCAGCCCAACAAGCTTAGGCTCTGCCGGGGTACGTACGGTGCTGCCCGTGCCCGGTAGAAGAAACGACATGGCATATTGGCATATATATACTAGACATTTTCTAGACAAAAAAATTATTTACATTTTCTCTACAAAAATTAAAAGCTGCTACCCTATTGGGAACCGAGTCCTTGTTCACAGCAGCTTACTGTGTATCCTAGCGGGTGGAGTGTTCAAATCGAAACAAATAAAATTCAGGGACCACTTGTTGTCCGATGACTAGATCCGCGTAGCTGAGTGGTGCAAAATTTCTAATTTCTCCAGCTAGCTTGCAGCCACACCACACCCGGCCCTCCCTCCTACGTACGGTGACTAAACTAGTTGCTAGTGCACACGTCCATATCTGAATCTATCATCAGCGTTACCTATAGCACGCATGCACCTACTAGCTCTACCATTCATCACCCATGACTGGCCATGACCCTGGCCGCGCGTGCCATGCTGCGCTAGCTACCTCCTCAGGTCAACTCGCCGGGTCGCCGCCGCGCGGCCGAGCTAAACATGCTCGCTCACCGAGTCACCGCCGCCGGCGCGCTGTATATCGTTCTCCCTCGCGACAGCCAAACATTCATGTACGTCGTTCTTCTCTATAATCTGTTTATGCCAACACTTTATTTGGAACTTGTCAACGAATCTGGTGGTATATATGTTCGTTGCACTTTATTTGTTTTTCACCGTTGCGGGTTCGCCCCTTGCTGTATCTTTTCTTCAAACGCGTACTAGAATTCATGAATCCAGGGGGTAGATCTATCTAGCACCGAGGAATAAGACACACTCTTACAATCTGTTTATGCCAGCACTAGCCTTTATTTGGAACTTGTCAACGAATCTTGTGGTATATATACGACATGGTGGTATATATATGTTCGTTGCACTTTATTTGTTTTTCACCTTCGCGGGTTCGCCTTGCTTTCTGTTTTCTTCAAACGCGTACTAGAATCCATGAATCCAGGGGTAGATCTAGCACCGAGGAACGAAACGCTCTTACAAAATTTATTGTAGCTATGGAAGCTTAGAAGGATAGGCTAGAGATAGAAGATGAATGGAACTAGGAGCTCCTCTTCGCCTTCCGATTTCTAGATCGGCGCCTGCTAGCATGGATGTGTCCTTTGTCAGCATCTGTGCTGTTTGTAAGACTGATGCTGCTAGCCGCAGCGCTAGCCATTCCCTGGCTAAATTTTGATTTGCATCGATCGAGCAGCTGTATGGGTGATAGAGGTCGTATAGTTTGCATTGCCCTTTAAACTCCTTTTGCAACTATCTTTTCTAAGATGTTGAAATAATCATTTTATCTTTTCAATTTACTATGGGCGTCGGGATTTGAACAACGAACCTCCTGCAGATTAAATTCGACTTTCGTTAGAAATAATCGATGTCTGGCAGTTTAGATTTGCCGAACCCGTATCGCCTATTGCTACAAAATGTAGGCTTACTTAGTTTGAGCCAAAGGATGGCCATGCATCGGGTCGTTACGGGTGTACATGAAACCTGGAACATACGTTCATTTTTTATGAGGATCGGAACAGGTTCATCTGGAACTTTTTTTTTTTGAGCAGAAGTTCATCTAGAACTGCCCCACGTGCTGTCGAGCACAACAAACATCTGGAGCAGCCCGTTTTTAAGAGGCCCATCCTTTTTTTTCTGAAAGGTTAAAAAGGCCCATCTTAAAAGCAAGACATCTCTGTGAGAGACAAACCGGGCGCCCATGTAATTGTTGAGGCCATTAAGCCCAGGCCATTGTTAATGATAATATACCTCCAACCGCCTAAGAGAAAGCCAAAAATAACTAACCTTCCAGCGAAAGAAACAAGACACACGTTCAGTTCACACCGTGCCCCAGCCTCTAAAATGAGCGCAACAATAGCAATAGCCACCTCAGACTTCCAAAAGAAAAGAAACATAAACTACACCAAGGAGCGGTTTGGGAACCCTAAACCGCTAAACCCACCACCCACACAAATCACAAATCCACGAGCGAGATCCATGGAGATGTACGAGATCTGCGGCGAGGAAGCCCCCGCCCTGGTCGCCGCCGTCGCGGACGGCGGAGACGGCGGCAGTCTGTTGGGCGCCATGGAGCAGCTCATCGATCACGAGGACGGTGCACTCCAGCCCGCGGCTGCAGGTGCGGAAGGAGGAGGCGGCCTCTGTGGCCCCCTGCAGCAGCTCATCGACTTCGGGGACCGCCGCCTGCAGACCGCGAGCTTCTTCATTGTCTGGGTTTGCTGCGTGCTCATCAACGCCGTGGTCCTGAACCCCGCCGCTAACCTGGAGCACAAATTAGTGGGCTTCGTCGTCCTCATAATCGGCGCCTGGCTCGCTCTCCTCACGCTCGCCGGGGCGGTGCAGGGCGGGGTGCCGCGCGTGCGGAGAGATTCCTCAGGGGATTGTTCTTCTAGCAAGATCCGCTTATGCGCAGCAGCTGCATAGGGGATAGGGGTTCTGTGTGTTTCCTCTTCATTTCTGGTCTGATTTCTAGAGTTTGGGCGTTGGGCTGGTGTTTGATCATGTGCCATGCCAGTATGCCACTTAATGATCGACCAGCTTGTAATTATTTCTTGTTCACGTTGCCTATTGTAATACCAGTTCCCCTGTGAATAAAATGCTGCCCATGGTCTTTCCCCTTTTGGTATCTATCTACATACCAGTGACCTCCATTTTAATACTCAACCAATAAGCTCATCGATGTTGATCAGTATACTGCAACTGCAACAGAGAGGAATGGGAATGAGTTATTAATTTGTAATTGTCACACATTGAACAATGTTGCAAATTTTATATAATAATCACCGCGCATTGGTCCAGATTTTTCTACGCGATTAAATTTTAGTCCTTCTGATCATTCCACTGCTGACTACAGTGAAGTGACTTTTCATGTATCTGTTGCGCCCCTAAAACAAGCACTTTTTTGTGCAGATGATGGGGGGATCATATAGACAAGGTGCTGCATTCAAACTTACGAGATGCATGCATGGAGCAGCATATACATGAATAATGATTATCTGTAAGTTGCAACTCCATTTTTTCCCTGATCGATCCTTTGATAAATAAACCAGCTTCCACAGTATTGCACAAGGACCTGATCCAAATGGATTTGCGCAACAGTTCTACGCAATTGATGTGATTAAATCAAGCTGAACTACTTATTCTTTCTCTTGCCATAGGTGGTTGCTAATAAATAAACATGTCTCAGTGACAGAACCGCCTAATCTAATGCCTCACAGAAATACTTTTCTTTCATTAAACACTAAGTACTTAAGAGAGGACACTTGTTAGATAATTTACAGCTACCTTGTGTGAACACAGTAAGGAAAGGTGGCGCCGAAAAAGCCCCCTGCTGTGATACTGTAGCCGCTGCAGGTGCAGGCGCCGCACGGCTCACCTGCAGCACTGTAGACACATGCAGAGGCCGGCGCAGAGTCAGCCCTGTATGTTATCTAGTTACTGTTACAGCATGTGCGCTGTACTAGGTCTAGATGGATATAGTTGTATAAATAGACTACCACAACAACTCAGTAAAGAGAGTTCAGATTTGCCATCTCTCGGACAGGGCCTCGGCCAACGTTGATGTTTTGTACTGTGTGCATGCTCTGTTCTCCCTTCTTCTTCAAGCTCTAGCCATAGTATGTGGGGACGGACAATGCTTGTTCGTGGTTGGCACAGCTAGTGGGTGCTCGGCAACACTAGCGGGTGCTCGGCAAGACTGGTGAGTGGTTCACTCACCTGAGCCGGTGATCCTGTGGGCCAACAACATTAAACTACGCAGTTCTGTCAGGCACATCCCAAGGGAGAACTTGAAAATCCACATTTTTTCACCAGGATCATAAATGAGAGAATAAAGCTTATAACATTCTTAAACCATTGCTTACATCACTTTATTATAGTAGCAGAATATTACCTCAGTTGTTTATAACAGCGGAATATAACAATGTTATCAGAGTTTTCAGCGAAAATGTATATAACGACAAGTTTAAGCGCTAACATGAGAAACATTATATACATGGAATGATAACAAGATGTAAGTCTTTACCTTTGCAAAAACATTTTGTGAAAATTTTGAATAAACTCTACGTCAGCAACGTAAGGAAATCCTCGCTGAGCCCACCAAGAGGTTTCTACACACAAAAGTCGTCTGCCATCCATCGGTCACCTGCAATAGGGGGAATAAAACCCTGAGTACTCGATTGTACTCAGCAAGAATTACCCGACAGGAGAAAAATAAAAGACTCCAAGGTTATGCAAGGCTTATTTGGCTTATGGGTTATTTCATCTGCGGAAGCATTACTAAACGTGCGTCCTTATATTAAATTTTATTAGCAGTCATCATTAGTTCATTAACTATCCATTCTATGTAAGCACCTATGCTACTTTCAAGTAGGTGGTAAGCAATCAGAACCATTTTATCACCTTTCAAGTTTCAGTTCTTACTATGGTGCTAGACCATAGCCAAGTCGGTACCATCTCACAGAAACGATGATTCGCGAATTAATGTATCCTAGCTGGGTACCCCGAAACACACGCCTCGCTTATACCCCAGACACAAACAAGACCAACCCGTTCCACTCCTGTCAAGGGGTCCAGGTCCCCATCTAAATTTGGACTCAAAACCCCCAAACACCTGAGACCCGGTCTCAGTATGGTGCTTTGACCTCCACCTTTCTCCGCCTCAAATCAGTCTGTCCGGAAAGAGCCGGAACCCATGACAAGAGCGCAACGAGCCTTCCCGCTCATATAAGCAACTATGTGCTTAGGATAATGAGTCTGTAACCTGACTACTATCTACAACAACAGACGGTCCTCAATCGACATAGGTGGAACAAGTGCAATCCGAGCCTCGCTCGAATGCCTAACCAAGTCCAGATCCAAAGTACCATTCCGCCCGGTCTCCAATTATCTTCCATATATATTCCATGTGATAGTAATATAATAACAACAATAATATCTTTCCTATCTCTCGCGAGTGACAGGTAATCACTCGACTTCTACCGGATCCTATAGCATAGCAATCTACACGATCCTGACATACTAGTAGGACTCATAGAATAAGTATATATATATATATGCAAGTGATTTTCATTCAACTCCTTAAAACTTAATGCACAAGCACAAAATAAAGTGCAGAATAATAGGGGTTATGCGTCGAGGCTTGCCTGGGTAAGATATAACCAAAAGTTAGCATTCCATCATGGTGACACGATCATCAAGGCACCATCTTTTCTACTACTCTGATCATCTCCACGATCCATCGTTGTTCCTATTATGACATACGTGGATGCAACACAGAGACATAATTAATCAACGATAACGGCAACTCTTAAAAATACGATTTTGCCTCTCAAGCTAACGGGCTAGCTCTAACGACTAACGTATTAGGCTATGTACCACGTTGTGAAGTAAGGCTTTGTCTCCGGAAAAATGTTCTTGTTCTAAAATCCTAAGGTGTTTTGGCATTTTATTGATTAAATAAATATTTTCGAACTAGGGCACATTTAGCTACCCTAGCAAACTAATTATTATGGAGCTACAAAAATTACAGTGAGCACTTAATAATGTTAGGAATTTTCTATGAAAGTTTCAGAGCCAACACTATCACCAATTTATCACAAAAATTCATACAAGTTTATATCTTACAATATTAAGCATCTCAAATTAATTAGATAACTCCTGGAAATATTATAAAACTATGTGAACAAAATATACTAGTAGATAGATCATGATTTTAGGAACCTAAGACAATTAGTTTCACAATTTTTTGCCAACTACACAAATTTATATTGAATTTACAAGTTTGCTTAGAAACTAGATTAGGAATTGCTTAAGAAAAAGGGAAAAAACGGCGGCGGCTAATTCGGCCCAGCAGCCCAGCGTGGGGCACGGCCCACGTGCGAGACGGCCCACTGCGGGGTGCCGCGTGCTGGCACTTTAGCAAATGAGCCCTCGGACTTTCCCCGAACCACGACTAAATCCTAATACTATTTCTTCCTTTCTCTAGAGAATTCACTTAACCCCCTGGATTTTTCCAAATTTCCCCACTGAAAGCTCTAGTTTGGTTTTGGTAAATTGATAAAACCCTAAGTGCTAAACTAGTTTATCAAAGTGATTATGAGATAGGTATCACTATTCCAAGTGATGAAGCAACAGTGAAGATCATGATGATGGTGATGCCATGGTGATGATAAAGTGCCAGGACTTGAAAAAAGAAGAAAGAGAAAAACAAAAAGCTCAAGGCAAATGTGAAATTGATAGGAGATTTTTGGTTTAGTGATCGAGACACTTAGCGAGTGTGATCACATTTAGGATCAATAGCCGTACTATTAAAAGGGGTGAAACTCATATCGAAATACGGTTATCAAAGTGCCACTAGATACTCTAACTCATTGCATATGCATTTAGGATCTAGTGGAAAGCTAACACCCTTGAAAATGTTTGTGAAAATATGCTAACACACGTGCACAAGGTGATACACTTGGTGGTTGGCACATTTGAGCAAGGGTGAAGACGTTGGTGAATTGAAGGAGGTGTTTTCACTGTCAAACAGTGATCGGACGCTCAGTTCGATGTGACTGGACTCAGGGTTCCTGCATCTGGTCAATTATAAAAGAAGGTAGTGCTCTCGGGCTCGATTTGCCCTGTGACCGGACTCGAAGAAGAAAAGTGACTGGACTCTAGCTGAACATTGTTCAGCGTGCGGTCCTGTTGACGTGGCGGCGTGTAGAGAAGATGAGGAGGAGTGGACGCACCAGTGCGTCCAGTCATGGTGGACCGGACACGTCCGGTCATGATTTTGCCTCTCTGGAACCTTACTAGAAGTGACCGGACGCCAGGCGATAGTGCGTCCGGTCCTACACTATAGTACATCCAGTCACAACTTAACACGTGGCGTGAAGCAGACTAGCCATTAAGATCGGGCGTTCAGCATTTGTGGCTGTTGACACATGGCGAGCATCGGGCGACCGGACGCTGGGGTTCTAAGTCCGATCAACCTGACCGGCGCGTCCGGTCAGCCCGTGTTTCACTAGACAGAGGAGCCAATGGCTCTATTCGTGGAGGCTCTCTATTTAAGCCCCTTGGCCGGCTCAAGCTCACTCTCTTGGTCGTTTGCATTGACATAGCAACCTTGTGAGCTTAGCCAAAACCCTCTCACTCGTCTCCATCATTGATTCATCATCTTTGTGAGATTATGAGTGAATCCAAGTGCAACGCTTGAGTGTTTACATCTAGAGGCACTTGGTGTTCGTGTTTCGCTACAGGATTCTCTTGTTACTCTTGGTGGTTGCTGCCACCTAGATAGCTTGGAGCAGCAAGGATCGTCGAGCGGAGGTTTGTGATTGTCTCCGGCTCTGATCATGGTGATTGTGAGGGGTTCTTGACCTTTCCCCGACGGAGAGCCAAAAGATACTCTAGTGAATTGCTCGTGGCTTGTGTGATCC